AAACTTGAGCCCATTGCTCCTTGTTCTGTCATCTGCCCCCACTGAGAACAGCCCAGCTCCATCCTCTTTGAAACCTCACTTCAGGTAGCTGAAGGTTGCTATTAAATCCCCTCTCAGTCTTCTCTTCACTAGACTAAATAAGCACAGTTCCCTCAGCCCCTCCTCACAAGTCATGTTTTCCAGCCCTCTAATCATTTTCACTGCCCTCCTCTGGATTCTCCAACGTGTCCACATCCTTTCTGTAGCAGGGGGCCCAAAACTGGACACAGGACTCTAGATGTGGCCTCACCAGTGCTGAATAGAGAGGAAGAATCACTTCCCTTGACCTCTGGCAACACTCCTACCAATGCAGCCCAGTATGCTGCTAGCCTTCTTGGCAACAAGGGCACACTGCTGGCTCACTCAAGTCATATACAGAATGCAAGATAATGATGCTACTAAGATCAGGGAGGCACAGCCCCCAAGCCCAGAAATATCCTTAAGCTCAAGCCATGTGAACAGCTAACTGCATACTACATAAATACATACAGTGTACTGATAGCTTACCTTTACTTTTGGTCTGTACTTCAGGAAGAGTGTCCTTGTGTATAAGCTGGGGGGAAAAATCCTTCTGTAAGAAGCACTGCTTTACCAAGTGCACTTAACAACCTAAGTGTCATGCAATAAACATGCTACAGTTGATGTCTGCCTGGAGTTGAGGGGTACTGGTCACTGAGTGAATCCCATCCTCTCTCAAATCAGAAAGACATGCTTCTGTAACTGAAGCTTTATTTGTTCTGCCTGGATTTAGTCAGCACAGGTAGGGCTCCAGGTCACAAGGGGTACCTGCGGACGTGCTGTGGGGCTGCTCCAATGCAGTACAGCACATCGGAGCAGACTTGAGTTTGCTGGTGCATGGCAATTAGTGTGCTCCAGCAACCTTCCACCTCTCACATACCAGTGTCCCTGTGCTTCAAAATAGTGGCAGGGTGCTTGGACTTAAGCTTGTCGGATGCAGGGATGCTGATGCACAAGATGCTCTGGCGCTTTAATTAGAACGGCTCTAATTAAAGCACCTCCCCACCCCCAAAGCATGTGTGTAAAAGTGCCCAAGAGCAATAACTCATGGATTCTCAGAGGAGTGCATGGCTAACAAATGAACTTGGAACTGTTGGTCTTCCCCTCCCCAACAACTCTGCCCATATGAAAAAGGGACAGAAGGAACTGGAAGAATATTCCCTCCTTGAGATTTCAAGCCAAAGGTGTAACAGGGAAAATGACCTCTGCTTTTTTCTCGCTAATACTTCCATTACTCTAAGGGAAGCATTCCTTCCATGCAATTCATGCTTAAAAGTTTCCCAAACTATGCAGCATAGTTTTCAAATCACAGAACCACTTGAGGGAAGAATTATTTCTTCTTTGTGATCACAACTAGTTTAGGTGGGCTCTCTTTAGCACATGGGGCAAAAGTCTCTTTCTACCTTAACAGGATATGAAGGTAAGAGCCAAGGCCTGTTAGGATGTGCCACCACGCGTGGAATTGTGTCACAGCTCCCACAACAGGAGGCATCTTGTCTCGTACTGCCCTGTGGAAAGAAACATGGTGCAATGCATGCTTTCCAAAGTGTGAAAATTGCAACTGGCAACATTTCCTTGCGAGAACACCCAGTGTTTTCTGAATCATATGCTTCAAGTGTCCAGGTTTTTGTAAATCAAGAACACCAGGTACTCCTATTCTCTTACAGTTAGTTTAGAAGATGTTTAGACGGCAGTTACAGTTGGGAAACTGTTCCCAGGTTTCTGGTACACAAAATAGCTCAGATAAAAACATTACAGGTATAATATTAATACCACTAAAAAATCCTAAGGACTCTTAACACCCCCACCAAAAGCAATCAATTGTATGGCTTATGGAAAGGCATGATAAGGAAAAGAGGGTTTGAGCAAAGACATGAAATCCACCCTGCCTCATCTTAGTATGTTGGGGGCCACTTTACCCCCTAACTTTGCATACAGTTTTTACTGCTTTTCTCCTCTCCCATGGTAAGACAACAAGAGAATCAGTAACCTACTGGGCACCCAAGTCCTAAGCACAGCAGCTTCTGGGTATAAAGCTCAGCATGACTTTGTGCTAAGAGTCTCAATGGTAGGAACCAGAGCTGAGTGGACAACTTGAAATACTCAGGCTAGCTGGGATAACTTTCAGAGTTGGGAGGCCAGTTGACTTGCATTATAAACCTTCAAAGACTAAAAATGACAAAGCAAGCATTTTTTCCCAGGCGTTATACTAAACCACACCTGGAGACTCAAACTTCCAAGGATCTCTGATTAAACTGATGCAATTAATGATAAAATAATACATCAGGCAGCACCACACCCATTGCGTGGCAGGAAATATGCCAACATTTTTCTTCCTTTTGCCAAATGGAATAGGAAGAGGGTACTTCTAGCTATTGATGTAAGCCTGGGAGTCTCAGGGTGTTTTCTAACCCCACAAATTGCAGACCTCTCCTAATTCCTGGGCAGATTTCCCCAACTCATGGAGTTGTGGTGATGATTTCATAAGGAATCACTGTGCCCAGAGAAACAGTCTGTTTTGGTGCTAATACCTGATGCACAGTCATCTCTGTGTTGACAGATTCATATCAGTAGCAGCTGTCAAAATTTACAGCATAAACCAGATCACATGAGTTGAGGCACACCTACAGTGCCAAAATAAATCTATTGGGCCCAAGTTTCAACTTGTCCAATATATTAAACAAGATCTAGAGAGAGGCTGGAAGGAGGCACACGGTACACCAGGCTGCATCCCGAGTCAATCCAGCTACCTATCGGTGCAATGTTGTGAAAACTGCATTCAGCAGAGGCCTACAGAGTGTGTGAGCTTGAAACAAGGAGAGCACAGGGGTCAACCAGGACCTTCTTGATGCTGGATGATTGGCAAAGATGAAGCCACATCTTTCAAATTAGCATGGAGTATTACTGCCAGGATGCACCAAAGGAGTCAGTGCTGTGGCCTGGTGGCCCACTTTTTAGAGACCAAAACACCTTTATGTCGTGTCTTGCATGCATAGGCTTGGCACCCAGCAGCAAAACCGGGCAGTGGCTTTCTATAAAAGCTTTTCTTTTTGCAGACTGCTTGGCTGACATGGCAACAGATTAAAGTTGAGGAATTGAGAATTTACAAGCATTAAGAAAGACTTGCAGGCCCAATATGATGCTTTGATGAAAATCTACGAAACAAATCAACTGCTAGTCACCCTGAGACATCCAGAAGAATGATTCCTATTTACTGGTGCTGGACACTTTTTGACCAGGCAGGATAGCTTCTTTTCACATTTTCCTGGGAAACAGAAGAGGAAGGGAGGAAAAAGGCCAGCCAAGATCGATGATAGTATAAAAAGTAATATAAAATTCTAGCATGAGACGTACAGACCCCAGGAAACAACAGGCTCTAGAAATCACTTTGGTCACCATTTATTTTTTTGCCTTAAAGTTTAGAATGAGACTCAAAGATTATTATGATTATGCATGCAGATTTCACTCTGGCGGTTGAAATACTGAGTCCCCAGTTCTGAATCCAGAACAGACAGAAACGGAGAACAAAACCCTTTCAGCATCAGCAGGGGAAAAAAAGGACCAGATGCTGTAAGGTCTAGAGGTCAGTATGGCTCTGAAGAAGGAGTAACATAGAGTATTGTCTAAGTGGAGCAGATCCCAAATTAATTTTAAACTATGTAAATTCCAGTCAGTCTCATAGCAGGGGTATACATCTGGGGTGTCTTATAACCAATCATATCTATGGAGAAAACTTTTACCAAGTGTTTTCACGTGCCTAATAAACACAGATAAAATTCTCATTCTGTAACAGAGGCACTTAAAGTATCCACTAAAAAAACTCCATTCATCAACTTGGTACTGGAGAGTGAAGACAGACAGAAAAAGCAAAATATTTAGTCTCGTGTCTCAGACTGCCAAATGCCAACTGCATTCCAATTTCAGAATTTCAGCATGGGGAAAATCATTTTTTACATCAAAAACAGGTAGAATATGACGAAGCCTCATAAGTCTATTGTGTTGCTGAAGCTCATCAAGAGCAGACAGGAAAAAGCACTTGTGACTAGTCTGTGGGGAACATATTGCTCACACATCAAGAGATGGACTTGAATTTATTTTGCAGAATAAAAAGCAAAGTCATGCAGTTAAAAATTAAAATCTATACAGAGAGTTGAAAATACTCACCTCAATTTATCACAGAAAATGTTGTCTACATTCCAAAGGAAAAATCCCATTAAAAATACAGTTAAGGATGTATAGCCCAGACCCCTAAGCCATGGGTATACCCTAGAGAGAGAGAGAAGCAAAGTGAAATTTAGTTTAAAATACTTTCAAGGCAGTTTGGAACATTTCCAAGTTGTACTATTTATAAAGGGGCTGCTTGATAGGAAAAAAAAAATATTTACAGATCTTTAAAGGCAAACCATTATTCTGAAGTCCAATCACATTTTTAAAAGCAAGCAAGATTTGTAGCGCCCCCCACCCCACAGGTTTTGTCTGATTTTCCTCCTGGCCCATGTGAAAAAGCTTGATACAGGAAGGAAAACAGTAAAACTGACTACACAAATGCATGGGTGAGGTTGACAGCTTCTTCTCTTTCTAATCCCTTTCAGTTAGCTTTCAGTGGGCACATCTGCACAAAACATTTACTGTGGAGCTGACTAATTAGCTCCCCAGTAAAACATCAGCGTCTACATGTGCGGTGCTATTAGGACAGAGTAAACTAATTAACTCCGCTGCAGAATAGTACTGTCAGACAAGTGCTATCCTATAGCAGAGTTATTTATTCTGCTGCAATGCACGGGTACATGCTGACAGGGCTGGCTGGGGCATGAGGTGCTTCAGCACTGGGGCTGCTTGCCATTTAGCCCTGCACCGAAGCTCATCTTGTGCCCCAGCCAGCCCCTCCACAGCATGCTGAGCTGGAGCAGCCCCAGGCTGGCAGGCTGACCTCAGGTCCCCCCACTAGCTGGGGCTCCTTCACCATGGCCCAACATGCTGCAGTCTCAGGCATACATGCAAATGTGGCACCCGGAAGCAATAAACTCCAGGGTGCTCTGCATCAAAGTTATTCAGCCGCATTAATTGCACAAGTAGATGCACCCAGAGTTAACTGTAAAAGCAATAGGTAAAATGGTTTCAAGAGATATGTGTTATAGTGCTTGTGAAGTTTCACCAGGTGTTTTGTTTCAAAACTGTCTGATGCGTTTTGAGCTCAATATAGTGAAATCAGAATGAAACAAAAGGCTTTGAAAAAGCTTTGAAACGAAATGAGGCCACTTGAAAGGTTTTGAGTTTTGCAGCTGGGTTTGCTTCAGCGCAGGCTCCTGGATCTGCATGTGGGATGACAGCATGCTGCTGCTGCCAGCTGGGGCCAGTGACAGCACCAGGCTTCCTGGTGCTTGGCATAGGATGCACCCAGCGCTGGTCCCAGGTGGCAGCCTACTGTCATGCTGTGCACAGATCTGGGGGCCTGCGCCCCCCAGGAAGAATCTGGCACAGCCTCACGGCCCTCCTGGGGGGGTGCGGGTCCCCAGATCTGTGCGCAGGATGACAGCAGGCTGCTGCTGCCAGCAAGTGATACGAGTTTTGCTTGTCAGCAGTTTGAGGTGCTGTTTCCCAGAAACCCCTGCACCTGTCTCCTTGAGCCTTGGCAGACTTCATGCCCTCAGAAGGGGCTACCATCCCTGCAATTTTCATCGGAATCAGGCAAGAAATGACAAAGTTATAGGCATTTTCACAATTCCCCATTATAGCCTAAGGGTGAGACGTTGAAACAGTTTCAATGCAACAAAACGGAACAGTGGTTCGAAACGAAACTCTGTCCCTTCGAAATGGAAATCAAAATGAAACGGTGCTGTTTCACACAGCCCTAATGTGTCAAGTAGATTGTGTCCTCTTAAAATGCACAGATTAACATTATTTAAACCGCCTGATAACATAACATATCGAGACTGAGCACTAGCTCAGTGAATCATTTCAAAGTAATTTCAGAATGTGTTTTTACTGTAAGAATCATTGAGGGGTGGCGATGGGAGCGGGGAACAAAACCAAAAACCTATTTAGGATACAAGAAAATAGGAGCTGAAGAACCAGAGTCACCATTAATAAACCCAATCTTACTGCTTGCATTCACATGGAACTACAGAATCATTAACTTCTTAATGAAAGTGAAGGAAGTTCCTTAGCCAGCAGTAATATGGCCTCCAAAATGCTCAATTCCAAACCAAAGAAGCTATACTGACATATAGGTCCTGTTATTCTCATCATGCATACACATTTTAAGATTCTGGTTTGAAAAGCTGTTATTTCTTTTAGTCTTTTGCATTAGTTTTGTCACTGTGATTTATCACCTATAAAGAGGCAGCAATATATCAAAGAACATATTCCTGCATCATGACAAATAGACAGGATTTCTTAAGCCATAAATAACACTTTCTGACAGCAGTGTTATTCATTAAAACACACATATTGGTATTGTGGAGGCTACTGATTAGTGGTAGTGGTAGTGTATACGTGTGCCGTGCAGGGACAGATCCTCTCTCTAGGCAAATTCAGGACAAACACGGCATGTGTTCCACACCTGTCCGCATTAGGAGCAGGTTCATTTCTAATTCACAGTTGTTTAGTCCCATAAATACGTATGGCACTAAATCAGGCGAGCTGTGAAACAAATACAAAGTTCATGCCCCAAGGAGCTTACATTTCAGAGACAGCAGCAAGTCCAAGATATAAAAGAATGGGTCATGCCCTGGCAATTATAGCTCAAATAGCTTCTGCATAGATGAGTGAGCTGTTTGATGCAGCAGTGAGTCTGTGCCATAAGCACGAGGGTGTGTAAAGTGAAGGCACAGTTACATTGTTGGACTGAGTGAGGAACAGCCAGGGAACAGGAGGTGGTGAGGGTCTGTACAGTGAGTGGACTGCCACAGGTGGGATCACAGATGAGCAGGACTCTGGAAACGAGGTTTACTTCCACACAGGTTCTTATACTGTGCTCATCAGTACAACTTCTGAATGCCTTCTAGTAGTGACTAACCATCTAGCATGATTAACCATCTGTCACGGGACTGACCTGTAGCCACAAGCAGAAAGCAAGACAAAACAGAAACACAAGGAAGAGGTAGACAATTTGAGTAATGGAAAAAGAGGATCCTAGTAGATGGGTTTAAGAAAAGAAGATAGAGAGAGGGAGCTAGGAAAGAAAGGGTGGGCAGCTTTGTGGTTAAGGCACTGGGCCAGGGTTTAAGGCAGTTCATTTCCCAGCTCTGCTGGTGTCATTCTGTGTGGCTTCAGAGAAGCCACATATGCCCAGACACATGTAAGTGTTCCGGTGCCTAATTCAGCATTGGTTAAATAGGATTTAGGAGCTTAAATATCTTTGTCAATCTGGGTCTTTGTTCTGTAGAAACTACTTTTCTGTACATCGAGCACAATGCTTCCTTTCTCCTTCCTTTGCCTTGGATCAGGGACTGTGCCATACTACGTATCACAAAGATGACCTTAGTTCTGGTGGGGCCTCCATATGCTATTGCAATAATAAAGAGGAAGAGGAGGAGGTTGCACAGTCAAGACTGGATGTGGATAAAAGCTTGGAGCAGTGAACCAAAGTATGAATGAAGAGGAAGGGGAACACCTGGTGAAGTAGGGAAAATACAGGAATTTGCAAAGGAGAAAAAAGAAAATGAATGGTAACCAGTTGCAAGCTTGACTGACAGGGAGAATGACAGTGTGACTGACAGCAAGATGAGGTGAGAGAAAGAGAGGTTTGCTTAAGTCATTTTAACTAACAGCCCCACTGGGAGATGGTGCCATATACCATAGAAAATGATGGAAGCACTGGCAGAGTCGTGGAGTCTGCAGGAACAGAAGGGTAGTATCTCTTCGGGCTTGCCTAAACAGGGACACTCAGGAAGATTAATCTAAATTAATTAAGAAAGTGAATGAAATAAGTCTTGTTGAGCAAGAGTTGGGTAACAGTGCTTGCACAGGGATTTGAGATTGTTTAATTAACCCACTTTAAGGCCACACCCTTAGTGAAGACTAATTAACTTTCCTGAGTGTCCTCAGGCAAACCCTAAAGTAATGAACTTATACAACCAAGCCCAAAGGTAGGAAATTTAAGATCAGGTAATCATCAGATGAAAGGCAATATGTGAACCGACGAGGGAAGATCACTCAAGAAGGACAGAGACAGGGCCAGGTTGCAACTGAGCCAATGATACCTAAATTAGCATATTTATTCAAATTTTCTTCTTCTTTCTTTGCAACTCTTTGCACTAATATTACTTGGTTCTTTCAGAAATATCTGATAGCAATCCTTTTGGTTTGGAAAAACCCCAACACATTTTCCAACTTCTAGTACATCAAAATCTGCTCACTAATGTCGATGAAATTTTACTCTTCAATTGATCAAGTACTTTACAGTCTAATCTTTAGTGCTGGCCTGGAGAGGTGGGAAAACATTCTCTGAAGCTGCATACATTTGCTAGTATTATTGTTTGGGCAGCATCAGTATTCCTAGCACCATATAGATCAGGAGAAAGCTACAATCCCTTTGTTTCAAGGAACTTAGTCTGAAACTATCTCCAGACAAGCTGGCAACAGACACTACATCTGCTCCACGTTTGTTCAAAAGGCACATGCTGACCTCAATCTAATGTCTTTATGGAAAGACAGGAACCGGACAATTTCCACGAGACAGAGAGCACGTGACCCTGCTTCACTTTATTTAGAGATGTGATCAGTAATGCGCACTTTGAATCGCGCAGCCCCGTCGAATGCAAATGCCAAGTCAGAACATGCATCTTGTCAGGCTGAACTAAGCCAGCCACTTACCATAACACTATATATACAGACCGCATGACTACCACAGAGACCAGCGTTCCATACATGATCTGAAGAAAAGTAGAGAAAACAGAAAATCAGTATTAGTGTTTAGACAGCTACTACCCAATATAATATATATAAATCAAGCATTATTATTTGGTTATAAAATATCTAACCAAAAATTATTGGTTAGTCCCCTATAATATTTGTACTGATCTATTCAAACCATTTTGACGATTCTTTATTCTCACAAAATGTTTCGAAATGTTTTGAGGTTTGAAGCTGGGCTTGCTGCAGCACAGGCCCCCAGATCTGCACGTGGGATGACAGCATGCTACCACTGCTGGCCGGGGTCAGCAGCAGCATTAAGCTTCCTGGTGCTTGGCATGGGCTGCGTCCCAGCTGGCAGGGGCAGCTTGCTGTCATCCCACGTGCAGACCTGGGGGCCCGCACCCACTGGGAGGAGTCTGGCACAGTCCCGCAGCCCGCCTGGGGAGTGCGGGCTCCCAGATCTGCATGCAGGATGACAGCAGGCTGTCGCTGACAGCAAGTGATAAAAGTTGTGCTTGCCAGCAGTTTGAGGTGTAATTTCCCAGAAACCTGTATACCTATCTCCTTGAAATTTGTCAGGTTTCATGCCCTCAGAAGGCGCTACCAGTCCTGCAATTTTCATCCAAATCCGGCATGAAATGACAAAGTTATAGGTATTTTCATGATTCCCCATTATAGCTTATGGGTGAAATGTGTTGAAACAGTTTCGACGAAATGAAACAACAAAACGAAATACTGTTCCTTCAAAACGGAAATCAAAATGAAATGAAACGGTGCTGTTTCACAGAGCCCTAATATCCATGTATAAATATTGGAGCAATTCAGATCCCTTTGTTGGGAGATCCAAAAATCCAGAATTGTGGCACACATTGGGAACAGAATTAAAAGCAAACACTAGGTGGCACAACTAGTTAGCATCCAGAAGTTAAACTGGAATTAGGAGTAAGTCATCGTGTTGAAGACTCTCGTTACTTGAGCTCGGGTCAAGCTCCCTCTCGTGCATTCCCTCCTGGAGTTCTTAGCTGGAAGGTGGCCTATACCCTGGTATTTAGGACCCATCAAAGTGGGAGTTTGACCCCAGTTTCCCACGCAGGCACAGAACTTGGGGTCACCACTTCTTGGTGTATTTTAACAAAGAGAGAAAGCCACTTGCTCACCCCAAAATGGATGGAGAGGGGACTTCAGACTGAACCTTGGCTTCACACAACCATCTAACTATTACCTGCAGTCAGATGCTTAAGTGTGGGACAGAGGCAAGACTTCACACATGCTCTCTTCAACACATCCCACTGGCTGGCTTCAGTGTCCCTTATGCTGCATCTCCTCATCCCAGGCACCAAACTCACCATTTACCATAAAGGCCGGGTGTTTATGAATTCCCAGCACCTAGAAACGATGTGTGGTGACACTCCGTGTTGCCTCTCCAAGTCCCTTTCTGGACCTTAACTGTGCGAGACTAAAACTGTTAGGATCTGTCACTGCTGTGTGCACTGCAGAGCTAAGGGAAGTTATTCAAAAAGCTTTCCTTAGTTTGACTTATGCGTTAAACAGGTTTCCAATTAAATGCCATTTACGTTAATTATACACAATTTGTAATCCAGAAAGAACCTAGGTCAACAGGGTAGGATTACTGAGCTGTTATTAACACCGAGCTAAAGAAAGAGCTTTGTCTGCAGGCGGCATGCTGCAAGGAACGCCAGCGTCTCCTGATGCTATCCGCACCCTGGTTGAGAGGTCAAGTCCTCCTGCGAGGAGATTCCCTCTCTCAGCATTAGCCCTGTGCTCTTTTAGTATTTCCAGGAATTAAACAGCACTTCTCACCCTCATCTCAACTCTGACTTAGAACAACCTGTTCTGCTTTGCTATTCAAATCAAGAGATCTCTTCTAAAAAGGCACAAAATGTACAGAGGTAGAGGCTGTACGTAAAAGGACTCCTGTGGAACCAATAGGTTCTTCTCAACATTTAGCTCAGTGGTCAGGAAGATTTTGGGGCCACTAACTGGATCAATCTGGCTTGGCTCGCAGGCAGGCAGGCTAGTGCTCCCAAACTGGCCTGCCACTTCTTCCCAAGGCCCATCTATGGTGCAGCCTGTCCAGACCCTCTCCACCACCCCCTGCTTGGCTGTGGCACACACAGAGCCCTGTCTTTTCCCCACCTGGTTGCACTGCATGCAGCCCCCCTACTCCCCCTGCCTGGCGGTGGCAGTGTGATGCATGCAGGGACCCCCACCACCCTAGACAAATGTAACAGGGGCTCAGGTAGAAGCCCTGTTACTAGGGTAGCCACGGGAGCGGGTAACTATTGGGAGCCCACTACACAGGTGTGGGGAGTTATGCATCCGGGGAAGATCAGGGTAATTAGCCCTCCACTGTCTGCATAAGCCCGGCAGCGAGGGAATGCACTTTGCCCTTGGGCACTGGATGAGGAGGAGATGACTGCTGGGAAAGGAGAGAGGAAGAGAGAGGGCAGCCAGAGGAGAACTGGGGACTGCTGAAACAGAAGAACTGGGGCGAGCTGATAAGGAGTTGGGCCACTTACCCAGGGCCTGTGGACAGCATGGGCCACCCAGGGAGGACCCGGGGCTCCTGGACAGCAAGGTGCCAAGAAAACCCCCAGAGGCAGAGGGTTTCAGGGTGGCATGCAGAGGGCAAAAGCCATGTGGGGCTGTTCGCTGCACCGGGCAGCTAAGGACTACGGCAGGTTCATTTTCGGACACAGGGAGATGGTAGCGGACACGCTTCCCTGCTGGATGCTAATACATACATTAGAGACACTCCCCGATGCTGAGTTAACTGGCGTGGTGAAGATGCTGCCCGGGGCAGAGTAAACTTAATGCAGCTGGGATACTCCCTGATTTAAGAAGTTAGAGTGGCTGTATTGCTTCCCTCGCTAATGAAGTAATTTGCAAGGCAGAAACGACAATGTAACCCTGTTAAGAATAAAGCAAGCACCAGGAAGCTAACCATCTGGGTGGTCTGTGGTGTCCCCTCAAGGAGTAACACTGAACATTTTTTCCTTTCAATCAAAGTCACGGCAGAAAAGTTCAGAGGGAAACCGAGATAGACTCAGCAACCCTCTCACACAAAGAACCGCCTTCTCCCTGGAGGTTGCAAGCAAAGCCCCATCTGGGCCACATCCAATGGCTCCACAGGCTGTAGGTTGCTGACCCCAATTTAGCTTTTGCATTCTTCTCCCTACAATTCACCCCTTCAGAAATGCATTTCCATTTTGGCATGGATGGCTCCTTCCTCTTAACCAAGACAGACCTCTATCATACTGGTTATGACCAGCTTCAAGCTTCTATCACGTAACCAACTCACACCAGCTCTTTGTACAGTGATGAAACAGGCTTTGATCCTGTCTAGAGACACGTGGCTGACAGCCAGGCCACAATCTAGGTACAATACTAGCAAGGACACTCTTTGTAGCAGCTGCCTATGACTGAATCAGTCTCTCATTTGGTGGCTTGCATTTTTCCTTCATCATCACTGTTGCCTGACCCTTGGGCATAAGGACAAGCTGGCTGTGGCAGCTAAAGCCAAGCAAACTAGGCATCTCAGCCTGAACAAATATTAATTTATCAATGCAATGAACATACATATGACTTGATAGGCCAATATGACACAAATTTCAAGCATATTTCCTGAAATGCCACCACAATCCTGTGGCAGGTGTGTGGTCTGTGCTTTCTGCTGCTCCTAAAACTCTCACGCTTTTCTCATGGACTGGCACCGTCTCAGCGAGGATGTTTGATCTCAAAAGGCGCTGCTGCTTCTCTGCACAAGACTTCTTGGCAGTGGCCTTGCTCTTGCTGTTCTCTGTACAGCAGGTGCTTACGCATATGCTCATTGCTCCTGTGTGCAACACAGGCAGCTCAAAGGAATGACATTTTCATTAATGATGCTTCATTGTTTTAACAGCTGGCTTGCTGTAGCACTGGATACTTGGTCACTTGAAACATCTGACCACAGAAGAAGAAAATGCAAGGAAAACTAGTGGACTACCGCCAGCTGCTACAAACGCTGTTTATAAAATATCCAAGTTTCAAGCCCATAAAGCTAAACAGAAAGCATTCTATTTAGTATTTATTGTATCCTAATATAGCACATTATAGTAAATAAGTGAGAACTTATTTACCTTAATCTTCATAATTCCTTGTTTCTTGCATATCTACATGGTCAACTTCTCAAAAGCTGAATTTGCTTTCAGGATACGGAAAATAACTTCCTTATTGACACTAACTTGGACACTCAGTACACTGTCCAGGTAGCAGAACGCATGAGTCACGGGAACCCGCTTCTCGTCATTGTACAGGGAAGGCAGCATATACCTCTTGCTGGCTGATACACGACTCTGATCTTTGTTAAACTAATTGTGAGGCTGCCCCAGAGCAGCCAAACACCTGCAAATCCTGTTTGGAACATGCCACTAACGCACTGTAATCTGGGAGGAGCAACTCAAAGTGGGTCTCAACTTCATGCAAGGGAACAATAGTGTTGCATTTGCGGGAGACTCAACATCACACTGACTGGAATGTCAAACACCTTGTCCACAAGTGGTGCAGAAAGACTGAATAACAAAATCAAAATCACTAGAGACGGGGAAAGGCTTGGACGGGTCGGTGCTTATCCTTTCCCTGCCTTGCACTCTTCCCTGGAGTCAACACAACAGTACAGAATGTTTCAGGACATCTAAGCCTGTCTGGCCAGTTCCAAAAGAAAGACTGCCCAACTGTATCAAAGATCCTCTTCTTGCCAGTGAAAGCCATAAAGAAATCTTTATTCTGGTTGCAACATACCCCTCGAATCTATCATGCCACAAAAGTTATGCTTATGGCCCAGCTGGCTCTAGTCACACTGCGACTCTGGGAGCTTGCCAAGAAATGTGTGCAAGAGCACTCAGTCTGTTGAGAAGTATCTGAGCCAATATTTACGAGCAGTCAACTAACAACAAGATTCCCAACTGTTCCATCACTCCATTTCATCTCCTTTTCTCTTGGAGACTCCAATTGTTGT